TACATGCTGTGCTACTTTATCTTTAAAAGAATTTAGTCTCCTAGCAGTGACTGGTCTACACCTGATCTTAATTTCACTTGTAGTAATGTTTTCATTTATTGAAAATTTTAAACCAAGATGATCAGAGCTCAGATAATTTATAATAGATTTGTCATATACTTCATTGTGACAGAAAACGTTATCGATACATGTGGAGGATAAGTTAGTAACACGAGTTGGTTCATAAAAAAGATTTTTAAGTTTGAATGAATTAAATAAATTTAAAAGCCGCTTACTAAGTTGTGTTACTTGTAATAAATCCACATTAAAATCTCCACAAACTATGACTGATTTACTAGTTAAACACAGTTTTTTTAAGGACATCATCCATGACACACTCAAACTGGTCGAAATCACCGGAGGGGGGTCGATACACGCATACTATAATATACTGTTGACTCTCAACGCAGGATAATTCTATAGAACGTTCGACAGAGAGTGCCATTATATCCTGTCGATTTTTACAGACTATATCATTTCTAACTAACACAAGAGAGCCACCGCGTATAGCATTTACTCTTACGAACGAACTTAACATTTTATAATTCTCTATATTTACAATATTACAATTCTTATGTAACCATGTCTCTGTGAAGCAGATGACATGAATATTAAATTTCCTAAGGAACAATTCTATTTCAGGTTCTTTGCCACCCAAGCCTTGTATATTTTGATGTACAATATTTAATTTCTGTGGCCTAGGTGTTGTCTCAATGTTTAGTTTAAACTAACATTGTTTGATGACGGATTATTACATGTTAAAATATTCTTAGTTGTACTATGTACAACTGGGTTCTGTATATTGTATGCTACTAAAGTAGCAATTTGTTTCTTATAATATAATGGCAAATACCAAGTATTTTTTGTCACCTTAAAACTAGATTTAATAAAATTATTCATGTCAAAATAAAAGAAAGCGTCACTATGACGGTGAGTTGTATTATATATAGTCATGTTAAGACTATATATGTATTTATTTTGTTCCTCTGTAAGGAAAGAGGAATATGGAAATGAGCATATTATAAATTTACACTTAGTCTTATAATGTAATATAAGGTCACCTTGTTCCGAAGGGACATTTTTGACGTTTTATTGAGGAGCGGGTAGAGGCGACCGAGTACGAAGGCCGCCCGGTTCCTGACCTGGGTCACGTGCTGGGTGAATTTAAGCTGGGAGTCGAGGACGACGCCTAGATATTTGACTTTATTAACCCATGGTACTGGGCTGTCCAAGAGTTTAACAGGGGGTGGAATGGGTATGTTCTTTTTGTGCGCGAAAAGGACTGCCGCGCTTTTGGCGGGATTGATTTCGATCCACCATTGCCGAAACCAGTCACCGATGGTGATGGCCGCAGCTTGGAGGCGTCGATGGATCAATTCGGGGTGTTCTGCCTGTGGTATAGATACAGGTGTCGTCGGCAAAAAGAGCAAGTTCTACATCTTTGACACGCGACATGTCATTGGTGTAGAGAGTGAACAAGACTGGTCCCAACACCGACCCTTGGGGCACCCCGGCTCGAACGGGATGCGTAGTCGAACACACGCCCTCGACGCGATAGCGAAAGGTTCGATTACTTAGGAAGTCTCGTATTATGCATACGAGTCGGTCGGACACTCCGTACCCGTATAGCTTGTATACGAGCCCGTTGTGCCAGACTTTGTCGAACGCTTTTGCCACGTCCAGGAAGAGTGCACCGGTGTTGAGTCCACGTTGACGTTTAGTTAAAATGTGCTCCGTGATGCGGTGCACTTGATGGGTACACGAGTGTTTAGCTCTAAATCCAAACTGCTCTGGGATGGGGAGCCCTTTGGTGTCCATAAGGGATCTTAAGCGGGCTAATGTTAGTCTTTCAAAGATCTTCCCAAATGTTTTGAGAAGACTTATTGGACGATATGAGGTTGGGAGAGTGGCGGGTTTAGAGGGTTTGAGGAACCCTATGACATCGGCTTCCTTCCACTCGGATGGGAAGAAGCCTTCGGTTAAGGCCGCGTTGTAAATTAATACTAGTATCTGAAGGATGCTAGTAGGGAGGAGCTTGGTCACCTTATTGGTGATACCATCTGAGCCTGGTGCTTTACGCGGGCGTAGTTTATTAATGGTGTCTATTACTTCGGAGCACGTGACTGGGGGAACGGGATCGCGAAGTGGCTCTAAGGCTTTCTTTTCTACCTCTTCGTTCACCTTGCAGAGGTGTTCGGGGTCGATCGGAAGCAGACTGGGGGAGCATTGAGACTCTAGGCTGTCAGCCAGGCATTCGGCCTTCTCTTCGTCCAGCATTGCTGGCGTACCTATCGGACGGACTAGTGGCGGCATGGTTGTTATGCCGTTACCCTTGAGGGATTTGGGAAGTTTCCAGAAGGCTACGTGGGATGGTTTTACTGAGGTTAGGGTGGAGTCCCATCGTTCGTTTCGTGAGTCTGCTATGCGTGTTTTGACCTCACGCTGCAATTTACGTAGCAGTCTACGATTCGAGTCGGTGGGATATCTATCATAGGCTCGAGTGGCCGCATTCTTGCGTCTCAGCAAGTCTCGCACATCGTCAGGCAGGGCCCAGCGATGGTCGTCCATCGCCGGGACCTGTCTCGAGCATTGCTCGACGACGGTGTTAACGTGGCTTGTGAGGGCTCGAATTGCGGTTTCCGTGTCCTGTTTGGTATTCAATTCTCTAGGGATTGACTCTAAGGATTAGGTTCGTTAAATTTGGATTTGATTTTATGCCAGCTGATGACAGTTTTGGTTAGGGGAGCGGCTATTGCTGAAGGCCCTAGCCGGAGGAGAACTGGTCGGTGATCGGAGTGAAGCTCGTGTATCACTTCCGGTTCGCATAAGGAGAGACTGTTATTTTTGACGAGTGCAATGTCAAGCACATCCGATATGTGTCCCTCTACGTAAGGAAAGCGCGTATGTTCGACGGGGGCAGCGACTTCAAAGTCGAGCCTGTTGGATAGCGAGTCGAGTGCGGTGCCTCGACTGTTGGTACGTGTAGAGTTCCATCGGGTGTGCTTGCTGTTGAAGTCGCCAGCTAGGATGGTGACTCCTCCTATAGAGAAGAGGGCCTCAAAATCTGAATGCAATATTGTTGCGGTTGGTCTGCAAGGGAGGTAAACTGATGCTATGGTGATAGGAGAGTGGCCGGTTAAAGCCAGCTGACAGACGGAGGCCTCGAGATGCGTGAGCGCGGGGCGTGTCTACCGGTACGCAATGGAGATTTTTTTTATAGTATATAAGTGTGCCGCCGCCCGGGGCGCCGACACGATCGTTCCTAACTATTCGATAATTGGGGATGTTCGGATCCCTTGTCGCGGGTTTCAGGAACGTCTCCTGAATGAGAAGTATATCGATTTGGTGGTCGCGTAAGAAAATACGTATTTCGTCGCGTTGCTCTTTAAGCCCGTTCGCGTTGTAGAATGCTACATTAATCGATCGCGGTTTGACTCTGCCATTATTACGCGTAGCAGAGAGACTGGTGGTATGTGAAGATTCTCGCGTATTGGATACACGCAACACGGTTCACACAATTGGCCACGGGAGAAACACGGTATTTATAAGCACCAGTAGTTAAATTTAGTATGACATCTTAGTGTGACAGTTAGTCCGGCTAGGCAAGTCCAACTTCGACGCAGAGGTCAATCGGCGAAACCAACTCGGACGGGCAGCATTCGGGAAACTTCCGCATGTCTTCTCGTATAGCCGAAGTGGCGATGAGCGGGCCATATAGCTCGTAGAATAGATAGCCGTTGGGAAGAAGGGTTTTTGAGTGGCAACCTCGTACTGACCATCGCAGCGTAGGACGACCCCCATTAGATGGAGTGACGACCTGTGCAAATGTGTGGTAACGCGATTGATGCAGGTGGCTCAGGATTGTGCTTCATTGCAGTTTGTAGGTTCAGCAGTGGACTCAATCAGGCTGAAATCGTGATGATGATGCCGGGGTACATTTCTCGGTTAAAGCGTTATGGATAATGAAATGAAAAAAATAGTAGTACACACTATTTAATTACATACGATGGTGAAAAAAAAGGTTAAACGAACTTGAAACACGCTTTCGTATTTAACTCAAAAAAAATCTCAATAAATTTAAATTAAAACTGTGATTAACAAAAAATATTCTATTGTAGAAAAGCGTGGATCGTGGGCATCACCGGAGTCAAATATTATAAAATTTTTATGGATTAATATTGGTACAAGTAGTTATTATCCAAATATCTCAAAAAGCACCATACGCTTTTCTAGAACAAAAGTTTTTTTTAATCACACTATTATTGATTATTATTAGTTAAATTTATTGAAAATGTTTTTCTACTTTTAGTTCGGCTATCTACAAAAGTTTGTTTTTTTAGTTTTTTTTAAGTATTTTATATTTTAATTCCGCTACCTATAATAGCGTGTTTTTATTTTTTTTATATCTTTTAAATTTAGCTCAAAGAGTATCGGATTTAAAAAAAATCGCTAATCCTGAATGTAGAATGAGGTGAAGGATAACGGGAAAAAAATTGAAATTGACGACAGATAGTGCACTTTTACCTTGGTCATCCCAAAAATTGAAAAAGAGGGTGAAAAACGAAACGGTGGTACCCTTTGGGTCGCTGGGCCAGCAAGTAAGTGAATTTTGAAACTCTACGGGATATGCAGTGCATACTATAATTTTTTTGTCCTATCTTCTGGTAATTGACTCAGTAGGGTTTTGTTTACAATATCGTTTTTAAATTCTTGAATTGCCCTTGCTACTTACACTTCCACGGACGAGCAAAAAAAGGATTTTTTATTATTTCATTTTATTCATTTTTTACTTGTCTTTCTTTTGTTTTGTTTAAGCTGTCTGTTTTTAAATTTTCATTAAGCAACATTTCAGCCATTGAATTATTATTCATTTCTAGCAAAAAGTTTGAATAAACTCCGGCGACGCCATTTGCGCTTTGAGAAAAAACTCTTTTCGAATTTCGAACGCCGCGACGACGGCCATGTGCCGACCGTGTTTATATAAAGCCTGGCGACGGCTTGAGCGCACAGTTTCGCAGCGCAGGCAGCAGACCCGTGGCAACATGTCCCCAGTCACATCGGCCTTCTGCTACATCGGAGTGATCGCCGCAGTTGGCGCGATACAGTCGACCGGTACCTATTTTGTTTATTTAGTTTTAGATTTAAATCTGGTTAAGAGTGAAAACTGTCCCGATATTTCCGTCTGCACTCGGTATCTCAATATTTGTACACAGCGGTAAAAGTCGTGCTATTGATTGAAGGAGGCTCGCGAAGTTTTTTATGTCAGAAGCTGACAAGCGAGCGTGTCGCCCAATCGCCGCCCAAGCACATCTGCAATACCTAACGGGATGCCACGCCGCATCCTCGGCTGTTGCAAGAATGGGCAGGCTCGTCCGGGTAAGTACAACGACCTTACAGAAGACCGACGTTAAGTGGAAATATAATAATACTTTAGCGTTATATATACATACTCCCACTCCACGGTGGTCTACTGTGAAACCGTGGTACTTTCCCGGACGAACCAGCCCGTTGGTGCAACGCACCGCTGCGCCCTACCACAATGAAATCAGGATCCGAAGGCATGTTGTGAACGGCCCTGCCACCCCCTAGTTAATATAGCTACAGGGGTCTAACGCGGTCTAACTACATCGTACTATACTCGGTACATTTACTGTTTGTTGTCACTGTTTATTCCGGCTAATGCCTGAAACGGCTTGACCAATTTTAACGGAACCTTCACTGGCAGATAGCTGTTGAAATAAGGAGGAATTTACTAATTTTATTTTAGAAATTTCAATTATTTTAAACAAGCTTTACCCCTGCGTCTCCGCCCGCGATGAGGCCCTTAAATAAATATCTTTTTTAATTTTAAGCTATTGCATAGCTTTTATCGCGGGCTTTGAGCGCGGCTACCGAATTAAGAAATTCCGCAACGCAAATAAAACCTAACACCCCCCACTCCGCCTACCATGCAGCTCGGTCGGGCATTCGCTTAACGTATATGTATGTATATGGTACGACTGTCCGAAGCTCGCACGGATGGATATTATTATATGATATTATAATATTATGTTATCATATGATGATATGATATTTAGAGGATATCAAGTCTGAAACTTATGTTTCTTGCTGCAGTTACCATATACCTATAATTTCAATGATAAAATGCCTGAATAACCTACATGTATTTATTGTAAGATAATAAAAATATTTTAAGCGATATTGACTTCTCATTTATTGAATAAAAGAAAAAAAATTGATCTCTTATGGGTCACCATGCTCAAAAAGTGTAATTTGAATTAATATCAAAGAAAAAAAAACTGCATAAATAAAAAATAAATATATAATTATAATTGCACAAGTTGATAGAAAATGCTATGCAATAGCTTTACCGCGGCAGTCCCCGAGTGCCACAGTTTTTTAATAAAAAGAATCCTATGTCCTTTTTAATACCGATAAGAATATGTGCACAAATTCTCATGATTCCATGAAGAGGGATTCCACGCAGACGAAATCGCGGGCACAGCTAGTACTAGATAAAATAAATAATCAAATTTACGCGCGCGGAAACTATAGACCACCGCAACTTTCTGTATTACAAATAGACTATTTAAAAGTTATCAATGAAAGCGATTCAGAAACGACTTTGCACCGAGGGCATAACAAATTTCATTGCTTTGTAAGGTTGACGAGCTTTGGGTAATGAATAAAGTGGTGGCCTTTAAAGGTAGATATGAAAATTGGAAAATTCGTTTCAATAGGGAAGGCAAATTATGGAGAGCTTCCACCCATACCTACTTCAGATTTGACAGTATAGATTAGAATTCACAAGGACACCTTCGAATGATAAGTGTCAATCTAGCTTTGGTGAAGAACGATATTTTCAATGTCCGTAAAAAAACCGGGAGTTGTATCATGACACGATTACGGGATTTGAAACACGACTCGTCTCGGAGTTTTCATGGTGTATACAGCGTGTCGCTACCATCGCGACAATAAATGAACACACGTCTAACGCTACTTGCCAATAATCATAAAAAATATTAACGTTAAACAAAATCCATAATTAAAAAAAAATATTTTTCAAACAAACTAATTAAGTAAAAAAGAAACAAAATTTGTAACATCCTATACAACTCGCGCCACAGCGTCGCATTACAATTCTCTCCTTCTAACAGTATGTTTTGTCTCTTTTAAATTCATTCAACCCATTCATATGCTTTGTGACCTTTACAAATGAACTTTACGTTACGCTTTTATAGGTAAGGGTGTTCTAAAATTCTTTGATTTGGAACATTTAATAACTCTGAATATATTGATGTTTAAAGAATTTAAATGTTCAATACAACTTTAAAAATTTATCCATTATATGTGTGTTCATTTATTGTCTCGGTGGTAACGACACGCTGTATAACATCTTGTATATATCAATACCGGTAATATGTCTTGAATATTTACATATATTGCTGTACAATATATTCAACAATCAGCAGAAGCACCAATTGACAGTATTCAAAGTGAAATAAATAGTTTGCTGTTTTGGTTTTGTAGTTTCTCACGCCGCCCGTAACACCACTTGTTATAAAGTTGTCGAAGTATTTTTGGAGAAACGAATAATCAGGCAGACAGCGTTTTTGTTGAATCTATGGTACCTACGGCTAGTAACATTGTCACAGGTTTTAATAGTTTATTGTAAGAAAATAAATTAATTAAAATGAATAAGTAGGGCCTTTGTTTACGCCATCCTGGCACATATGTTCTTTTGCGCACCCAGTAAAGCATTGGGCAATCGGTTTTGTCAGTAACTAAGGACCTGTTAAGTTACCTGTGTACTCAGCGTTCCTATAACGAACCTTAGACGAACAGATGATTCTAGAACCATTTTGTTTGTTATGTAGCAACTATAAAAGAAACCATAAAGTTATTGCTTATATTTACGACTAGCGAGCCCCGGCTTCGCATAGGTGCAATGTATTATCTTCAATCACTATCTGAGATCCGTTGCGTAGTTTTAAATATCTAAGCATACATAGGGACACACAGACAGCGGGTCAACTTTATTTTCTACTATGTAGTGAAGTTAAACATTTTTATGTTACATTTTTTTATTTTATATGCTGTGTATAATTTTTTTCGATTACCATAATTGACATATTGAGAAATTTGGTTTATAGAAAGCATTGAAAAGTAAAACATTTGAAATCTGTGTTTGTAATTAAAGATACACATATTCTTCGATTTCAGCCGCTTATAAAAGCTTTATTTTTCTTCTCTTCTCTTCTCTCTCTCTCTCTTCTTGGTCATGGTCTAATAAACTTTAGTTTACCGTCGTACGTACGCGTATTCTTGATGGCTTACCGATAAATATATCTTCCCTTCTCACATTTACTTGCGCTGCGGTGTTGGGATATGATCGGTATCTTCGCTGTTTTTTAAGTTTTTTTTTTATGTCTAAGAGATTTCTGCATATATGATAAATTATGTACGTCAAACAGTGCTTAATCATGACAAAACACGCCCTAAAGTTACTCATAAATACTGAAGGAACTGTGTCAATTTCCATCCGAATTGATAAAGACATGCACACAAACGCACAGGGCTGAAAGAGATAGCAATCTTTTTTTCATTTCACACGAACAAGCGACGTGAAAGGTGGATTGCCTCTGGCTATATTTAAAATGTAAAGGTTATTAAATAAATGTAATTAAAGTTCTTACAATTATTTCTGAGAGTCGCGGAAACTTAGTGTATCGCTTCTTGAAGTGAATTAGGTTCCGTTGAAGTGTAGGGTAAAATTTTTAGTACGGAACCCTAAAATGTAACATTTTTCACGGTCTTTTTATTCGTTGATTTTTATTTCATTTAAAGCACGTCTACAATTATGTAAGCTAATTAGATTATCCTTTCTATCCATAACTGTATAATGTATAACCTATGTTTAACCGTTTAAGGAATGATTAAAGTAAATTACCGAATTTAATATTAATTAGAATAATTTAAATACTTGCAGGATATGCAAAAAAATGTAAGATGTTTTTTCTTATTTAATGTAAATTAACATTATCATGAATAAATACGTCGCAGGTGTATATAACTAAATTATGTTTTTATTGCTTTAAATTATCTAGTGCCTTTATTTAAATGCCATACATTTAAGACATTTATGACAATATTTACATATATTATTATTAATTATTTTATTCGCGAAAAATCTGTTTCCGTATTTGAGAATCCTTTAATTTATGCTAATGTATGCTATTCATAGGTTTAATTCACGTTATCATCATAGAGTACGTTTAATTTTATTTTGTCTTGGTTTTCTTACTTATAACAAAATACAGCGTATGCGTAACACACACTACAATACATATTTAATGAACACAATACATATTTCACTAAAATAATGTTCATCGCGTCAATTTTTTAAATAAAATTTCGGTCTTTCGAATGCTTTTATGAAACGCTGCAAAGTCGCCACAACAATCTGATTAAAGCTTTTAGTTTACAAATAGAGTTTATTGTACTGTATTGTATTAGTGTTTGGACTAATCAATTATTTATCTTCCCCGAGGAATGAGGTTCTCACACATGAACAATTATTATCTGTGACGTCACACTAATATTTTTCCGCATGGGGTCGAACCCACGACTTGAATAGAAGCGAATAGCTTAGCAACTGCGCCGCCACCAAGTAGTCAAAAAGGCGAGTAAAGACCAGTCAGTGACTACTAAAATTTTTTGCCGACATAAAAGATACGTGGCAAAATTAATGGGTTCAAAGTCGAAAAAAGGGCAAAGCATTTCAGAATAGAGCATTATTTATTCAGGAAGTAAACCGGGGCCAGTAATTTTTTTATGCGAAAAGTCAAACGAGCAGACGGTTCACCTGATGTTAAGTGAATACCGCCGACCATGGACATCTGCCACACCCGAGGGTTAAAGATGCGTTGAAAAAACAATTCAAAATCAAGGTTTTTGAAAATTGAAAAAACAATTTTCAAAAACCTTGAAAATTGTTGTATTAGCTTTAAAAACTATTTTTTATTATGCTTATTTTTTTTTTTGCAATGCCCAGTTGAATTTCTTACTTTTTAACGTTTCCGGGACCATTATTTTGGTTATAAAAATCATACGGAAGGTTTTTCACGGCCGGATATGCACTATTTCTGTCTTTTACTTATTTTATTAATAATTGAAACAATAACCAGTCGAGGGCGATAAAATGACCTTCTTTGGTGCGATGAACTTTTCTTTACATAATTATATACAAAGTGAAGTATTAAAATAAATTGTTCACTTTTTATAGGAGAAGGTCAACCGATATGAAATGAATATGAACGATGTCAACATCCATTGGGCTGCAGTTGCGTGGCGGCTTTTAACTGGAATCATAGAAGAGTAAAAACATCCAAATAGCATCGGTTTTCTGTAGGGTCTGGTCGAAGCGAAGTTCGAAGATTATGATACATTTTGCCTCGCTTTGTCTATCCTTCCTTATAAATGAAAAATATAATTCGAATAATAAAACAGGGTTCGTAGGTTCGATTCCCAAGGAGGGTCAACGTCAGGCAGGCGCCCGGTTGGAAAAATCATAGGCAAAACCGCTTAAAAAGCGTGACAAAAGTAGCTAGAACGCGTGACAATTGCCCGTTAAAAAGAAAAAGTAGATAGTTTGAACAACGTTGTAACTTGCCACATTGCGGTCGCTTATAGAAGTGTAAAGTGTTTCGGTAAGCAGAAGCTATGCTTAATAAATTGAATAGCAAATAGTGTAATTATATTTGTGTATGTTTTATATTTATATGTATATATTGTTAGCCTTTTGCAGCTACATTTACATATTTACTTACATATTTATATATCTTATTTATTCCGATTGAAGTTAAGTATTTATTTATTTATTTCCTTCATTAAAATAGTAACTCACACTTTTACTCCCACATTAATTTCTTTTTAGTCCATCCAAAGGTTGCCTGGAAGAAACTTTAGTATTACGGCCGCCCATTGTACCCATAATTTCTGCATTGGGTTTTTTATTTGTTTATTTTACTTTTGGTGTACAAGAAATAATAATCATTCAGTGTCGCCTTGTAGATAACTCGAATTGGACGAATGTTTCAGGGCAGGAGATCAGTAGGCAGCCGCGTTTGTTCCACCTCGACGACTACGATCGGTGTCTGTCGAAGCAGGATGGGCTCTACTGTCTCGGCACCTTCCGTCTCACCGCCGAGAGTCCCAACTCCTTGTACGAAGCCCTTAAGGTAAATTTTAACCGCGGCAGGGCCACGTAGCAGCTTGCTGTTGCACGAATGCGCGGGCTCGTCCGAATACAGGGCCTTACAGAAGTACGGCGTGAAGTGGAAGTATTATGGTGCAGTTTCTATCTCCTTACACCTGGACAATTATTTAAGAAAATTTATTTATATGGACACAGCCAATTCTTTTAGCTTTGTTAACTATTTATTGTTGAGAGTGTTTTTTGTGCATGTTGTGTTCGCTCATAGAAGAACATTCACGTGTGTGTTAAGTTCCGTATCAACTTTATCTGTGTCCATTATTCTGTAATTTGAGTGTAATGTTCGGTTTGCGATCCTAATTAAATTTAAAAAAAACTATGCTTAACTTGATTCCGTGGCATGAGGACCTGGTGATCTGAAGCGTAATACAGGTTTGCACCTATAACAGGCACCAGCTTCGCACAATTACTCGATAAATTTTTTTAGTTAAGCTGTACCAACCTTAACTGTGGTAGAGCCACGCAGCAGCCTCGGCTGTTGCACGAATGGGCAGGCTCGTCCGGGTAAGTACCACGACCTCACAGAAGACCAACGGAAAATTGAAGTATGACAAATACTTTCGCGTTTCGTCTGGTGAGTGAGATAGCCGGAGCCCAATTTCAAAAGGTTGTCAATGCATCTGTAACCCTCGGGTGTAGCAGATGTCCAGCGGCCCGGCGGTATTCTCTTAACATCAGGTGAATCACCTACTCGCTTTTTAACTTTTCACTAAAAAAAAATTCAACCATGATATTGTATCGCCTTTTCATGTATTGTTTTTATTTGTCATTATTTGTTGGATAAATAAAATACATTATTATTATTATTTCGCGTTTCTTCTGGTAGTGAGCTAACAGGAGCCAATTTTTTTAACATTGGTAACGCATCTGCAAATCTTCATTCGTTGTAGATGTCCATAGGCGACGGTAATGACTCAACATCAGGTGAACCACCAGCATGCCAACTTTTCACAAAAAAACAGTTTTGTAAAAGTGTTAGTATGTAGTAACATACCACTTACCGTAGCCCGCCTCTCTATCTGGATTAACTCTGTTGATTTCAACAGGGGCACGGTTACGTTCCATTCGGGACCAAGGGTTCAAGGCACAGCATACGGATGCTACGACAAATATGCAATAAAGATTTAGGAAAATCTTAATTTTTTTACTATACTTTGAAATGAGAATGAATTACATTTGGGACTGAATTGCTCTTGACTTTTGAATAGCACTTTTTTTAAACGCTCGTGTGAATATGGCCCCGAGACTTGAGAAGAGGGCTACCAAGCAACTTATGGGAGGGGGTGAAAGAATTCAATTACATCATATCTGTGGTAGGGCCACGTATCTGCCTCGGCTGTTGCACGAATGGGCAGGCTCGTTCAGGTAACCACGATCTCACAGAAGGCCGGCGTAAAGTCGAAGTATAATACTTTCGCGTTTCGTCCGGTGAGTGAGGTAGTCGGGGCCCAATTTTCAAAAGGTTCTCAACGCATCTGTAGCCCCCGGGTGTAGCAGATGTCCATGTGCGGCGGTATTCACTTAACATCAGGTGAACCGCCTGCTCGCTTAGCAACTTTTCACATAAAAAAAGCTAGCTTGCAGAGTGCGTATTCTAAGCAAGTGTTGTCCCTCCCCTAGAACCACTCCGGCCCTCACAGCTTCGATCGCACGCTGCTGCACCGAGGCTACTGCGTCAGCGCGCGCTGCCCATCATCGGAGGCCAATGCGACGCTACGCTTCGAGCGCTGCGTTCGGCAGCGCGCCAGGGCTCTCTCCCTCAACTCGACCCTGAGCAGCCTGAAGTACTGCCGCGCCTTTGGCCAAGAATCGGCGCCAGATGACGCGTGGCCATACCGCGCCTTCCTCGCAGCGATCGGCGCTCTGTTGCTGTTGAATTTCGCCGGAACAATCTACGATGTATCGGCAGGGGAAAAAGGCAGTGAGTGTGCCAAATCTTCTTTATTTCATTAGATCTTCGATGATTTAACGTGGTGAATATTATGGTGAATCTTCTTTATTTCATTACATCTATGATTTAACGTGGTGAATGACTCGATTGGCGCGTCAATATAATTATACATATAAAGATGAATTTAAACGCAAATTTAAAAGCGAACTTATGGCTAAGGCATATTATACCATTGCAGAATATCTTGACGACGCCAATGTGTGGGGTTAATGCTGTTGATACTCACGTTGGCTAAAATGACATACTTATTCTATCATATTGTAAACTAATCGTTTTAAAAAAGAGCAACTGTTGAGTCTCTTGCCGGTTTCTTCTCAACAGAAACTGCTTTCCGAACCGGTGGTAACTTACGAACGTATTAATTTTTATGTAAAATTTATGACATTTCATAAGAACGCGCAAGCGTCTACGTGAATAAATATATTTTGGATTTTGATTTTGATTTTGATATAACTCTATGAGATATATTATATCGAATCGGGTTGTTTCAATGATTTACGTTTATTAGAAATCCGAAAAACTAAACCCTACCCCTTAGACTACCTCTGATAGATAAAGAAATTACCATACTAAATACATTGAACGACATGAGATAATAAATTAAAATGCATATTTCACCGACGTTTTCACGGTAAATGTTAGTTATAAAATGCAATTCACTCCTGTTATAAATAAATCAATGTTGTTATGTATGATCCGTTGAAAAGTTTCATTTCGTTTTACAGAGAATAAGATCCTCACAAGTTGGTCGATGAAAGCCAATTGGCAAAAGCTCACGGCGTCTTACGACAGCTGTGATCCTAGTAGATCAGTTCTGTCGCCTATACGAGGAGCGAGGTAATTTTTATCTTTTGATCTTTTTTGGAAACAGACATTGCTCTTCCTATGGGATAACATTATCCTGTGTTGTAAGGACATTTTACATCCGCAAATTACACGTGGACAAACACCCAGATCCAAACATCATCGGTGGGTCGCACAAACAGTTGTCATGTGTGAGAATCGAACCCACGACCCGCATCGCCGAGGCCAATACCTTGTCAATTGCGCCACGGAGTAATGTAAGAAAAAGAAAAGCTCTCACATACGAATGAGGTACCACGGTTGGCTGATGCTATGACGCATCACATTCATACTCTATCCTCAGCCAATGTTCCTAGTTGAGATTGGGCGTTGGCGCGAAAATGTCAAACATCCATTTTGTCTACATTTTTTTAAATTACGGTTAGTGATAATAATGGTGGTGATTATGATAATTAATATTAAAAATAATAATAATAATTAAAAAAATATTTGTATGTATAAATTCCAAGCCAGTTATCGGAAGCCACTACGGATGTGAAAGGAGAACAACCGTACTTGCTTGAGAGAAATATATAATAATAATAATGCCGATGACTTATGCTATTTACAAAAAAATCATAACAGCGCGATCTACGAATGCGACAGCGCCATCTATTGGTCAAAAAACAAAACAACTTCATTTATGAACTCACTGTCATCAGTTTTCATATTTTAGTAAAAAATTTAATGATCGATATTAATATATAACGTTATTACTTTAAACAAGAATAGTAATAATGACAGTCATAACAGTCATGATTATACAACGTGGCGCTACTAACGCGACCATAAATCAACACACATATTAGAAGATAACTTTTAAAATTGTATTAAGCATTTACTTTCTTTAAACATCAATATTTACAGAGTGATTAAAATTTCTAAAACAAATAATGTTAGAACATCCTTACGTATAAAACTGTAACGTAAAATTACTTTGTAAAGGTCACATAGCATATGAATTGATTGAATGAATTGAAAAGTGATAAAACATACTGTTAGTCGGGGAGACTTTTAATGCGATGTTGTGGCAACGAATGAAAAAGTCTCTGAATGTATGAATCAGTCAGTTGCAATTGTATTAGATAGTACAAATTTTGTTTCTTTCTTATTTAATTAGTTTGTTTGAAAATCGTTATTTTTTAATTATGGATTTCTTAACGTTTTATTTTTTATGATTATTGGCGTGGAGAGTTGGAAGTATGTTCATTTATTGTCGCCGTTGTACCGCCACGCTGTATAAAAAACTATAGACTAATGAAGCATTTAATTAATTATTAATTTCTCAATTTCAGAGTTTTTCTGCTCGTGACGGTGGTAATGAGTCACGCGATTGAGATGACCTATAAATCGCACATTGCCAATCCGGAATTCTTGGAGACTGTTTGTATTTATATTTGTGTTTAGTTACATTTTAAGTTATCTTTAACTGCGATAGGTTTGACATGGCCCCCATCACAAAGTGTTACTATAGATAGTTTCCCATCGTTGATTAATAATTTGTTTTTCAACTATTAAGACGCTTGACAATGATGAGTAGCGACATACACAAAGTAAATTCACTCTAAAAATAAACAGGTCGACATAATCTTATTATGGACCTGTTCATTCTTGCTTCGAACCCACTGTTTACTCGGACAGAAATACGAATTTACGCCAATATTACCACTGACGGTTCACAACTTCATCTTTGTAATGGATGGGAAACTAATTGTGCCATTCCAACGTACAATATGATATAAATCTTTTAAAGCTCGGTACTTTTTGCGTGATATATGAGTAGAAAACATTGTTTCAAAAAAGAAAGAAAAAATCCAGCCAATTGTGAGTTAGACTCGCGCACGATGGGTTCCGTACCGTTACCTATAAAAACGGCAAAATTTCAACTGTCTTACTATCACGGTTCATGAAATACAACATGGTGACAGACGGATAGACAGACAGACAGACGATTTACCCTTTGAGTACGGAACCCTAAAAAGAAATAGTACAATGAAGTTTTTTACTGTTACTTATTCGAGACCAAGTCAACAAGCGACCTTTTCAATATTTTTGTAATTACAGGCTCAGCGTCATCCCATGTCGATGATCCTTCGTAACGGCTCCTCGGTTGTCCAGACGTTTACTGTGATCTCCAATTTCCTTCTCGCATTCATCCTACTCCGCTTTGCCAGCAAGAAGAAACTCGGCCTGTCCATGCTACCCGCGTTAATAATGTACAGGGTCGTCAGGTGAATATTTACACAGCGTGTCGTTACCACCACGACAATAAATGAACACACATATAGAGGATAACTTTTTAAAATTGTATTAAACATTTACATTCCTTAAACATCAATATTTACCGAGTTATTAAATTTTCCAAAACAAACAATTTTAGAACACCCTTACGTATAAAACTGTAACGTAAAGTTCATTTGTAAAGGTCACAAAGCATATGAATGGGTTGAATGAACTCAAAAGAGACAAAACATACTGTTAGAACGAGAGGCTTGTAAAGCGACGCTGTGGCGCGAGTTGTATAGGATGTTACAAATTTTGTTTCTTTTTTACTTAATTAGTTTGTTTGAAAAATATTTTTTTTTAATTATGGATTTTGTTTAACGTTAACATTTTTTTATGATTATTGGCAAGTAGCGTTAGACGTGTGTTCATTTATTGTCGCGATGGTAACGACACGCTGTATATTTACTAGTTACGTCTGCGTAGAATAGGCTGAAGCTCATAACTTCTTTTTTCTGCATCTCTCTGTGAGCGGCGCGGGGTATAAAATAAGAAAAACGTCATTTCCAAGGTGGCAAGATAATTTCGCACCGTGCGTTTAATAACGTTCTGTGGTCACATAGAACGAAATTGATTTTATCGTCGGAAAGTCCTAATTATTCTGTATAATTTCTACGCTTTCTGATGACATTAATTATTTATTTCGTCTGACTTATAGATATTGAGATTTAGAATAGAACAACGTTCTATCTGATTTGTGCTCCGCAGTACAAGGACATATGTACGTTTAGACACTGTTTTTTTGTACTGATAGACTAAGCTTACTAATGTAAATAGACTAGTGTAAAATACTCTATTAGAGTCAATGGATAATTATTGCACAGTCACCCATTTTTTATGGTTCTATCGTTGAAAAAAGTAGAACAACATTATAAATGAACGTGTGACCTATTATTTTTTAGAATGTTCCGTTGAACAACGTTATATAAACGTGTACATATGAACTTGTGACCCATCAGTTATTGCCATTTTCCGTAGGAAAACGTCACTATTACACATCAAACCTCTTATTTCCTAAATTTATATAATTATTAATTCAAAAAGTATACTGTTTGTTAATATACCTAATTATATCAGAAACATCAAAAATTGCAATAAAAATTGCAATAGCAACTGAGTATATACGATAGTCGTTGAGTCCAAACTTTCTAGAAGTTTATGTTGCAATTACAGAATATCCCCCGTGCATCTACTGGTAGTCGGCTTTGCGGCAACTTGGTGGCGTCTGGCCGGGGACGGTCCATTGTGGTCGGCCCTGGTGACTGCGGAAAGTGACATCTGTCGCAGAAAGTTCTGGTCGCATTTGCTGTTCTTGAATAACCTGATCGAGCCCCAGAAGCAGTGCATGCTGCAGACGTGGTAACTACTCGTACCTGCTAATTCTATATTATTAACGCCCATTCTGAACTCGATCAAAAATAACGCGACGCGCTCATTACTTGTTCCTGAATTAAACCTACTAATAGGACTAATGATACTAATGGATTTTTCATAATCCAAGTGGACACGTCGCATAAACACCATGGCCATAGTTATTTCGTAGTAATCAAAACATAAATATGAGAAATAACCGCACTATTGTATAAATCTGGAATGTTAGGTATTTGTTTATTATAAGGTTGGGATTAACACGTACTTAAAAAAAATCAATTGCACCAACTTGAAACCGGCTGAAGACAGAAGAGTTCTATTACATCCTAAGCAGGTTATTTTACGATCACCAGTACTTATCTACATTTTCTGTCGAAACGCTTCTATTTTCGATGTTACCAATCTAAATACCGTATTAGAAATAAAGAGACAATCTGAGCCTTATTGTTGACGTTTTTATGGTGTGACGTACTTCCTATTTCATCATTTCATGATGTCCTAGCCGTGTTCGGCTACACCGACTGTTTACTAATATTGAGAGCGTCGCCGATGCGCTCTCAGGTGACTGAAGTAGCCGATTTTTGCAGCAAATGTGCGGCCACTTTCTTCACAAGTCTGGAACCCTCCGATATAAATATAATAAATAGCCGCAGGTGGTCTGGCCTTCGATTCGTCGCACTTAGAGTCCAGTTCGTGGCGATTAGTTTCAAAGTGTACTATTTTCGACAGTTATTAGGCACTTTCTACAGCCTAAAGCGCCTTTAGAGCCTTTAGACGGATCTCAAGAAAGAAGGTGCTATTAGATTCATCACAAATGTTTTTTTTTGGATCATTTAATGGTTTATGCTTATTTATAAAGAATTCAATGTGAATGGCTAAATGCAATAGACCTCTAGTGTTTTTTACTAAACACAATGTTCTTTCAATTCTAAGGGGTAATTGATTTCTTGAAGTTATACTTCTTTTGGCGCGTTTCGGAAAAATGATGAGAGTGTTTCGATATCTAGAAGCGATATCAGCTTTATGGTGACACCGTATAAATCAGTAATAACTTTCACATTTACATATAAATCCGAGTTACTTATTCAAACCGTTATCAATTGCATTCAATTTATTTTTTTCCCAAACAAAGAGTACTGGCGCACGGGATGGAATCTTTTTGTTACCCTAAAGACGTACTTCTAATGTCGGTAAATAATTACACACATATGTTTATTTTCACAGGTTCCTTGCAGTCGATCTGCAGCTCTACATAGTCGCCTGCTTCGTTACCCTTTCGTTGGTCAACAATCTGCGACGTGCCATCTTCGTCATAGGCGGCATGTTCATCGTGTCTTGCCTCCTCAATGTCGGCTTGGCATACGTCTATCATTGGAAATCTCTTCTGTACCTCTTGTCCCCGGAGTAAGTAATAGCATAAATATGATAAATTTTAGCTAAGTAACGACCAGCCAGTACCCCTGATTATCACGAACATCTGTAACACCCGTTGCCCCTCACCCGGTTTACTTGCGTTTCCTTTTATTTATTTTTTAAGTGGGAAGGTGTCAAGCGAGATGGCGGCTCAACTGATGTTAAATAATAACCCTAGCCCATTGATATTTGCAACACCCGTAGAGTTACGGTTGCGCTGTCACCTTTTAATAAAGTGGATCCCGGCTACCTCACTCGCCAGATGTATAACACTTTCACTTCCTGCCGTGTCTTCTGTGAGGAAGTGGTACGTACCCGGACGCACTTACCCAATCGTGTTGCGTGGCCTGCCAATTCCCCGGGAGAAGAGGCCCTTCTAAGAAGTAGGTGGAGCTAGTAAACTAAAAAATACTATCTATTTCCTCTTCCGCGACACCTTAACTATTTTGAATTATGGAATGGAGATAAAATTATTAAAGTTATTCATAAAACAACTATATTCCTATATAAAAATCTCACATTAATAGATAGGTAACAAAATATTTATAATGTACACACAAGAATACGGGATAAAATATCGGAAACCAAGAAAATATTTAACTCGAAGTTATCCTGAACTTAGTTCTCCAAGAAACAACTTTTCAACCGTGATAGCTCAATATACTCGAGCAACCCGAGTTCGATCTCCAGTGCCGCCTCCAATGAAATTGTTAATTCTAAGTGCCGAATTATCACGTGCTCAGCGGTGAAGGAAAACATCGTGAGGAAACCTGCATATTTTCGAAATAATAATAAAAAAAATTATATACGGGATAATAATGGTCCCGTTTTACCCTTTAGGTACGGAACCCGAAAAATGATAAATGCGCTTACACAGTACCATGATGCCTTCTAGAAACCTGCGTACGACTTTCGAAGGTGTGTCTTCATTCTCGTACTTCTATATTTCGCCGTGGGGCAGCCTCCCCGCCTGCTTCCTGGGCCTGTTCGCTGCCCACCTGCAGCTGTATGTCAAGGAGCAGGGATATGACGTAACGAAAACTAAGGTAGGGTTATAGATACCTAAATTTTATCCCATGCAATGTCAGTTGAAGCCAAGATAATGTTCAATTTAGTTAAGTTAGTTTTAAGATAATAAGACTTGTTGAATGATTGAGGTTTATACAGGGCGATGTGGTCGCATAGCGAGCCTTTAGTTAAATATTTAAAAAGGCAAGGTTATGCTTCGGACTAAGGTATGTAAAAAGCGGTGCAAAGTAACATGTTCTGTGATAGTGACGACCTTGAACTATGCCGACTACCCCGAAGCGAAATCTGATATCACGTTGATGATCCAGCTGTGGTATATATATATTTCTTATGGATCCTGCAAGCAGTCATATAAACTATAATCAGGTAAGTTGTAAGAGGTTGGAGTTCGGCGAGGTGGAGCTGTTCCATCTCCCCTTAGTAAGGCAGCACATCAGCTCTCTTGAGTCTTCTAATCGGATTTGGCTGCTGGAGCATACTGGATAATTGGTTTGGACGAGTTGTAAAACGGTCCTTGTAGTTAGCTAAGTACAGTTTCACTTTGTCCAAGACTTCTGGAATTTCTAGGTACTCATGGATTTCCGAATTGCGAGCATACCAGGGCGCCGATGAAATCACCCTCAAGATATTGTTTTGATCTCTCCTCTGGATGCACATAATGTTGGATTTGCTGGTTTTATTATTGAGGAATATATACTTAACTTGGATAGGGATAAGGCAGACTGTTTACCAAGGAGCCAGAGTAGGTTTTTAAACCTTAAATTAATTTCATTGCGCTTCGTTTTTATATGATCTTTTCATGTAATTTTACGATCCAGGTGATAGCCAAGGTACACAGGTTAATTGCGGTAATGTGCCCGGTCCTAAGTTGACGGTTTCACGTCTAAGAGTAAATGTGATACGATGAAACTTTGGTACACTTGCTTTTATGCGCCACTTGGTGGTATTGAGCTGGGATTGCAATGATCTGCTCGCTTCATTTGGGTCACGGTTAAAACTAAGGAAGGCCGCATCACCGTCAAAGGTCGCTACAGCTGTTCCAGGTGACTGAGGTAAGTCACAAGTAAATATGTTGTAGAGTACTGGACCAAGTATAGGACCAAGTATAGACCCTAGGGACGATGTTTTTCTTTAATTTTTTTCCCTGACTACTAGAGGGACTGGTGCCCCATGCGGTGAATCCTTCAGCTCGGGAGTATTAGACCAAGCCGCCACTTGGATCAAATTAGTGATATAGAGACACGCTTCATCCACTTCATCCTTGGTTTTGTGAGGGATATTTAAGTTGTATTGGACTACAGGAATTCTCAAAAATATTGCCATTCGGTTTTGTGATTGTGGAGATAGTCGGTGTGAGTGTCGTTGGGTATGGCCACTGTACTAGCCATGAGTAAAACGGGTGAGTGATCAGAGCTACCGTCAAGACTTGATATTATGCTAGTGTTCAATGCGCTGAGGTCCCTTTGTAACAAAAAGTCTAGGAGATCAGGTGTCTTATTGCTGTCAGTGGGCCAATATGTTGGCTCCCCAGTCGACATAATTAATAGGTCATTAGTTTCAATACTCTTCATTAGTTCTCGGCCTCTGGTATCCGTTAGTCTTGATATGTATTGCTATTCCAATCGCCGCCAGCAACGACATAAAAAAGTCTGTAAACATTTTTTCTTTTATAGTGTGACGTGGTGAACAATATATCGCAGAGAGATTGAAAGTCCCCGATTGATCCACTACGTGGCTTGGAGATAGGGTTTCGCAGTGGATTCCAAGAGGCAAGGGCTTACAATGTTCCTGATAATTATCGCGGTACCAGTATGGGCTCTACCATCGGGGTGTCAGCTGTAATAGACGGATAGTTTAGTTTATATATATATATATATATATATATATATATATATATAGTATATTTATATATATATATATATATATATATATATATATATATATATATATATATATATATATATATATATATATATATATATATATATATATAGTAACAGCTGGATAAAGGCTGTTACTTCGAGAAAACGAAAAAATAATAACGGCAACGCATTATATCTGACATACGATAAACAGGAGCTTAAAAATTTGTAATCAGATGTGCATGCAAGAGTAGATCAAAGACGCATCCTTGCCCTCTACCTACTCTCCGAAGTGATGACAATCTGCCCAGCATTCAAAGTTGGTTACCCTTGCGAAAACGCATTCTAGGAAAATATGCTTATCCTCTCGGCCTTTATTCAGCTTTCCTGAATTTGTCTTTTAATTGAATGTTCCAGTAATCTTTCATTACGAATAAGGTTTGAATGAAAAAAATATGAGAACGCAGAGTTTCTTGCCGGCTCCTCTCTGGACAGGTCTAGTTTAGTGAGCCGATGGTAGTTTTTGACGTTCAATAAGTTCCCGATTTTCTAAAGGTTGTCAACGCATCTGGAATTCTCGGGAGTAGCAGATGTCCATGGTCGGCGGTAAAGTAGTAAAGTAAATACTGGTTAATATCAGGTGAACCGTCTGCTCGCTTGGCAACTTTTCACATAAAAAAAATAGAAAAAAAAAACTTTGAACGGATTGCAATTTCAGTGGCTGGTGCAGCTTTACCACGTGTCGCTACCGCTTTGCGTCGCGTGGTTGCTGACGGGGTACGTGATGACGTCACTGACCACGCGCGGCTCCTTCGCGGCGTACATCGGCTTCGAGCGTCCCATCATCTCGGCAATCGCCGCGCTCCTGCTCTACGGTGCTGCCAACAACCTTGATAGTTAGTTTTCTTCTTTTTTTTATGTGAGGAACGAGCTGGCGATTCACCTGACGTTGAGTGATAACCGTAGGGATAACCCGTAGGGTTGCAGATGCGTTGCCACCTCTTAATAATTTGGGCCCCGGCCCCTCACTCAGCAGACGAAACGCAGAAGTGCAACACTAAACGTAACTCTCCTGTGACGTCGTGGTACTAACCCGGACGGACCTGCCCATTTCGTGCAACAGTGAACAGTGTTGCGTGGCCCTACCGCAGTTAAACGTGGGCTGGTTCAACTGTTTCAGATTGCTTCCGTCGCTTGTTTTCTTGGCACGGCTGGCAGCTGCCGGCGCGTCTCTCCCTCTCAGTGATGATGGTGCACCGCGTGATCAACATGCAGCTGGTGGCGACGCGGACGGCGGCCGTTCGGACCTCTGTCGCCTCCATCGTGAGTTTTTTTTTATGCGAGAAGGTGGCAAAGGAACGGTTCACCCGCTGATAAGTGACATTCGCCCCAGAATTTTCCAGTAATCTTTCAGTGACTAGTGCCCGTAAGGTTTGAATGAAATAATATGAGACCGCAGAGTTTCTTTCCGGTTTCACTCTGAACAGGTCTAGTTTAGTGAGCCGGTGGTAGTTTTTGACGTTCAATAAGAGCATTGAACAGAAAAATTTCGATTTTGACTTTGACTTTCCCTTACCCCATCGTGAGTTGATTTTTTTTATGCGAGAAGGTGGCAAACGTGCTGGGTTTCCCCGCTGTTAAGTGACGGCCGCCCCCCATTGACATTTGCAACACCCTTAGGGGTGCAGATGCGTTGCCACCTTTTAATAAAATGGCCCCAGCTACCTCACTGAAGTACACTACCATCAGAACGCGGAAGTATAACGCTACCAATTCACGCCGGTCTTCTGTGAGGTCGCGGTACTTACCCGTACGGTCCTGCCCATTGGTGCAACGGAGAAGACTGGTTACCGTACGATGTTACCCCACCAGTCTAGACTGGACTAACTTTTTTATTTCATTATAATACTACCTGAAATGTAACCGTTCCGATAGCCATGTCTGCCTACCAGTCAATCACACTAAGCATGTTGTAACATCTGTGCAAATGAGAATGAGAAACACCAATTAGAATATTTTTCGGGATTTAAATAAAAAATTTCGGGACATTTTTATTCAACGTTATCTAGTCCCAAACTAATAAAAACGTGTACTTATATGCTAGGTAGCTAATAAACATACTTAAACTTACTTTCCTTTTGTAAAAACTAGAAAAACAATCCAACATCTTCTGACGCAAGAGACAGGGTCACTACGCCAATTGGGTCGAAAAACTTTGACTGAAGTTTTGCTTTCAGTCTGTAGACTATTAAAGCTTCATGAAACGTACTCGTGGACTATTTAGAACCATCGAGCTTGATTCAGCCCTCCGCGTTGATTAGGGCTGCGCATGTGCTCATTCCTGAGTTATATATGGGGAGGAATGTCACATACCGGGACCATGACCCCGATGGCCGTCAACTGTATTAATTTAGGACATTCGGTCGCCACTGACGAGAACATACATTTAGTTGACTTTAACATATGTAATGTTTACATTATTATAATTTAGTAAATTTAAGGCAATCGCCTGTTTAAGTCTCACTGTTGGGCTAAGGCCTGCTCCGTAAGGGGTATCAGGGCAAAGTCCACGACGCGACTCCACTGCTGATTAGCGGATTTCAAATATTTTGTAAATATGTTTTTTTGTTATTATTTTGAAACGATGCGGGTTTTCTCACGATATTTTCTTAAACTATTAAAATTAACAATTTCATTGGTGAATTTATCAAAGGCTGTTCGCGTTTATTGAATTGAAAGCGAGCGCACGGAAAATAAGCTATCACGGCACAAACAATTATTTAGCTAATATGTTTTCTATTTGGTTTGACTGTATTTTTATTTAATTATTAGTATTTTGTTGTAAATGTGGTAGGGCCACAGTCTTTTCTGTTGCACAAATGGTCGAGTCCGTCCGGGTAAGTACCACGACCTTACAGAAGACCGGCGAAGTCTTATGGCGTCGAAGTGTTATACTTTTGCGTTTCGCCTGGGGAGTGACCCACGTTATTAAGAGGCGTTGACGCATCTGCATACCTTCGGGCGTTGCAAATGTCAATGGACGACGGTTATCACTTAACATCAGGTGAACCTCGGGGCAGGCGGTGCCTGCTCGTTTGCCACTTCCTTATATAAAAAAAATATTATGTGTATTTATTTATGGTTAATAATGGTATAAACAAATAAAACAGAAGATGATAAAGGACGTGGTGCTCGGCTAAAGATGTTGTGGTCAATGTTTCCGTATATTTTTGTTGTGACTGCTGAGTAAAGTAAAAAAAAAAAAAACAATTGTGGAATACTGGAATGTCGTTTGGCTTTTTATGTATCTTACATACGAGCTTTTGTGCTAATAATTTTCGAAATAAACACTGGGCTATGATTGCGACAATAAAATAAAACATAAAATTCATTATATTATATCTGTTTGTTGATTTGTTGAACTGTTTGTAAAAGATGTGTTCTCTTTGACTGCGGATAAGGCGTTTCATTAGTCTTTAATAGCCAATTATATTATATACAAATACTAATATATAAAACTAAACTGAGCCACTCAAATTACGCCAATTGGTGTAATTAAATTGCAATTCTATAGACTGCTATCTCTTTCCGCATCATATGTTCCAAAATAGACGACTCGATTGGCGTAGTGGGTAGCGAAACTGCCTCTTGCGCCAGAAGGCGTTGGTTCAATCCTCACAACTGAAAAAATATTGTGCGATGAACTTAGTATTTTTCCAGAGTCCAGGTGTTTATACATTTTTAATATGTATTTATTAACAAAATAAAAGTATGTTTAAGTATGTTTATCAGTTATGTAGTACCCATAGTACAAGCGTTGCTCAGTTTGGGACTAGAGAGCGTTTTGTTAAAAATGTGTTCCAATTTTTTTTTTAAACACTGCCCTTACTTTAGGATAATATTATCCTGTGTTGTAAAGGACGTTTTACAAAACATAAATTTCACGCGGACAAATACCCCGATGCGAAGCAACTATCTGTGGGTCACACAAATAGTTTTCCCGTGTGGGAATCGAACCTACGACCCCCGACGCCGAAGCCAATACCTTGGCAACTGCGCCACGGAATCATCATTATTTGTATCATCTGTAACACTCACTTATATACGTCACAATTAATGTGAAGCGTACATACATAATTCATCTGTTACAGGTTCTTGATGGGGCGGTGACGACATTCTTATCGTACCTGCTGGCGGTGCCGCTAACTCTGCTGGTGGAGATGCCGGTGCAGCGCACTTTCACGGCTCTGTTCACTTAATACCGATAGGCGTCACTGAAGAGTTGCATTTACGAGTATTACCTTATACGCCCGTATTCGAGAACAATACTTAGGTAAGGTTGAAAGCAGCACTGTGCTGTGTAAGTATTCGAGAACAATACTTAGGTAAGGTTGAAAGCAGCACTGTGCTGTGTAAGTATTCCAGAACAATACTTAGGTAAGGTTGAAAGCAGCACTGTGCTGTGTAAGTATTCGAGAAAAATACTTAGGTAAGGTTGAAATCAGCACTGTGCTGTGTAAGTATTCGAGAACAATACTTAGGTAAGGTTGAAAGCAGCACTGTGCTGTGTAAGTATTCGAGAACAATACTTAGGTAAGGTTGAAAGCAGCACTGTGCTGTGTAAGTATTCGAGAACAATACTTAGGTAAGGTTGAAAGCAGCACTGTGCTGTGTAAGTATTCGAGAACAATACTTAGGTAAGGTTGAAAGCAGCACTGTGCTGTGTAAGTATTCGAGAAAAATACTTAGGTAAGGTTGAAAGCAGCACTGTGCTGTGTAAGTAGGGCATTTCTCACTGCGTTCGTATTGGCACGCCATGTCATTGACAAACAACACTCAGGCGACACTTTACTATGCGTACGCATTGCGCCGATTACATATCTATGAAAATGAAAATGAAAATATGTTTATTGACAAACACACTAAGCAAAGCCGGTCCTGTGGTTGCCAGTTACGATTGCCATCTATTTTACAAATTTGCCAGTCGAAAGATCGCTTCGCACTAAAACTTTAATAAATATAATATGATTGGTCCGTTTAGCAAAATAGACATAACATTGAGGTGGTAGGGCCACGCAGCAGACTCAGCTGTTGCACGAATGGGCAGGCCCGTCCGGGTAAGTACCACGACCTCACAGAAGACCAGCGTAAAGTGGTGGTATGACAAAACTTTCGCGTTTCGTCTGCTGAGTGAGGTAGCCGCAGCCCAATTTTCAAAAGGATCTCAACGCATCTGTAACCCTCGGGTGTGGCAGATGTCAATGGGCGGCGGTATTCACTTACCATCATTAGCCGTGATAGCTCAGTGTCCGGGCGCTCGCCTTTATTTCAATATACTCGAGCAACCTGAGTTCGATCCCCGGTGCCGGCACCAATGAAGTTTTTAACTTTAAGTGCTGACTTATCACGCGCTCCGCGGTGAAGGAAAACATCGTGAGGAAACCTGCATATTTTTGAAATAAGAACAAAAAATATATATATATTTTGAAAATATGTGAAGTCCGCCAATCCGCAGTGGGGCCGCGTGGTGGACTATGCCCTGATACCCTCTGTATAGAGGAGGCCTTTACCCAGCAGTGGGACATGTATAGGCTGTTACTTTACTTACTTTTATTCACTTACCATCAGGTGAACCGTGTGTTCGTTTGGCAACTTTTCACATAAAAAAAAAAATAACCTGACATTTGTCAAAGCTACACTATGCGTTGGTTAAATTACACCTACTTTACGTAAGGGTCGTCCCTAATGAATAGCGTTGCGCATCACTCAAGTATTGGATTTAGCGGCCCTATGCGTTCGTACGCACTGTGAGACCTCATAGTATTGTTCTTGAATACGGCTGTTAATATGTTTCCTAAGCCGCATACATCTTTGATGGCTTTCTGAGCTAGGGAAGAAAGCTCTTAAAGTATTCCCAACCCAATTCCCTCACAATTCCTTGTCATGCGAATTAAGTTCTTGTTTTAAAATAGAAATGGGGACTGTGATCGAAGAAGGAAGAACTTCTCCGATTACCCTATTAAGATTTTTTGGTTTGTTTGGCGTATTAATGACAAAACCTACCTGCAATATACACTCCGTGTAAATATAGGTTACATGTATTTATTTTAGTCCCGTTTGTGTTCAGTCAAACAGGTTCTAGGAAACATTTTCTGAGCATTGTTTCAATTATTTTTTTTACTAGAAAAATATCTAAGTGAAACAATGCTACTTTCAACATATGTGAATAGATGTAGATTATACGAGGAAGTCTGTATTAATGAGCTTAGATTTATATTGTCTTCTCGAATTTAGAAATAGATGTTGTGTAATTATTTTGTTATTGTAATAAAGTTTCTATAATAATATTGTTGTTTTATAATTAATAAGTCTTAAAAGATGAGTACGTATACGAGTATGGGCTATCTCTATAACTTCTTCTTCTTCTTTCTCCTGCCCTTATCCCAAGTTAGTCCCAAATTAGCACGAGATGTCCTTTCCTACCACTTTATTTTTTACGTTATCTCAATACTAACCCCTTGCATAGACTTATCATTCTTCACACAGTCCATACAAATCTTTTTCGCCCTTCCTCTAGCCTTGCAGCCTATAAACTATATAAATATAAACTCATAGCTGGCACAGTATAGTCGAATGTATTGTAGAATTTTTGCCATTTGCTTTTTTAACGAGTAAATTTGTCAAACGCGCAGACAGTTCACCTGATGTAAAGTCATTACCGCCGCCTATGGACATCTTACGATATGCAGATGCGCTCCCAACCTTTAAAAATAGTGGGCCCCGCGTTACCTCTCTAGCCAGATGAAATATAAAAGTATATTAAGTGAAATATAAATTTTTAACGGTGGTGGCCCTACGCAGCAGCCTCGTTGTTGCGTGAATGGGCAGGCTCGTCCGGTCAGGTACCACGACCTCATAGAAGACCAGCGTAAAGTGAAAGTATAATACTTTCGCGTTTCGTCTGGTGAGTGAGGTGGCCGGAGCCCAATTTTGAAAAGGTTGTCAACGCATCTGCAACCCTCGGGTGTAGCAGATGTTCATGGGTGGCGGTATTTACTTAACATCGATATCAGAATATGGTAAAAAAGAAAGAAATAGAATTGCTAGATTACTGAGCTAGCGCGCTTACCATCCACGGCTGCATCGCCACTTACCATCAGGTGGGATGGCAGTCAAGCGCGAGTCAGCTAAATCCATATAAAAAAAATTACTGTGCGAAACTGAATGAATGGATGTAGAAGATAGGAGTATTTTTTTCAAAAACATTGCCCTTACTTTAGGATAACATTATCCTGTGTTGTAAGGACGTTTTACAAACATAAATTTCACGCGGGCAAACACCCAGATGCGAAACAACTGTCTTTGGATCACACAAATAGCTGTCCCGTGTGGGAATCGAACCCACGACCCCCTACGCCGAAGCCAATACCTTGGCAACTGTGCCACGGAGTCATCTTAGTATTATAGATGTGTGTAATAAATTGTAAAAAACGTCTATAATATCTGCGCACGTCTAGGTAAATGCTTGAGTGTATGAGTGACAGCTAATAGATCTGGGCATTGCATTTATCTTTGTAGAGGACTAAAAAGGCATGCAAAGTACTACAAAATGTAGGAACCTTTGACTAAACTTTCCCTTGCAAAATAAATTTGCTTCACATATCGCTATTTAGATCGGAGTAAAAACGCTTTAGATAGCAATTCTCAATTATTTCGATTATATATTGGTATCGGTCCATGGGCATCTACTACACTGGAGGGATTGCAGGTGCCTTGCCAATCTTCAAAGACAACGGGCCTCGGCCACCTAATTCACCAGACGAAACGCAAAACTATTTACAAATCTTCTACTTCACGCTTGTCTTTTTTGAACCCGTGCTACTTCCCCTACTAGTCTGTCCATTCGTGAAACAACAGACGCTTCTGCGTGGCCCTATCGATTTTTTAACCATACCTAGTATTGGCGTAAATACAAAAATCATTATATCGATTTTAAATTATCCCTTAATAACCTCAAATGTCACCGGAGTCGTAACCGAACAAAAGAACATTAACGTAGTAAACAAATTCCGTCATGTTTTTTCCGTTCAAAGGGATAACTTTCAATAATTATGTCACATTAAGTCGCCCATTTCATGATTGAACTATACATTATGCGGATGTCTGTTGTTATGTTTACTTTTGTTCCTTTTTTAAAATGCAAATTATGACTTTTGTGTTTACGTTGCCGTATAAATTTCGTTAGCGTGATACAAAAAATAAACAAGGTAAAATGAAATACCTACCCTTGAACGTTAATGTAGTAACGTATTCGAATCTATGAATGTAATTGATGACGTACTTCAGGAAGTGGTTGGAAAATATAGATAATATCTATATTTTCCTGAAGTACGTCATATATGATATTATCATAAATACTCATACCGTAGTGGAACATACAAGCCGCGCTTTCTTGTTGGCTAGTATCTGCGCCGAACCTTATATCTTACAAAGAAATAAACTTTCTAGTGGTACTTTTTTCAGCTTACAGCTAGTGTACGAAGTTTAAAGAATGAAAAAGTAGACAAAGACCAAATTTATGTCATTATTATGTAATGTCAAATTTATGTAATTATTATATATATAATATTTTATTTTCTGATCATTACGAATATCATCGTGGTCAATTCAGAGAATTTAACCATCCTTTTGTTAACTAAAATGAAATTTGAAAAGCCATTTGACAGCTGATTAGTTAACTTCTACGATTATCAGTGTTTCAGAAACCGGGCGTGCGTCTTAGGTAACAAAGGTAACAGGTAAACAAAGGTAGATATATAGTATAATTATGTTATTATTACACATTATCCTTTCGGATTTATTAACGTATAGCAGTAAGGTATTGACGAAAAGATAATATAATGTATCAGCCTTCGGTATCGGTTGACAGGCTCATTTCCCGTGTTGTTTTTGAGCTTTTTAAGTTCCACACAATTGAATGGCTTAATCTTTACAATAAATCTTGAGTTGAAATACTGGGAAGCTTAAATTTGCACTGGAATTTAATAGTATTGCGCTCATAGTGTAGACCTTGGGCGTAAATTAAAATTTGTTGACATTCCGCGATGACTGCATCGTCTTGCGATCCAATCTGAGTAATAAGTTTCCAGACTAGTCTCTGACTTATACTGAGCTCAGACTTGTACTGGTGGATCAGCGAGTAATTCATAATGATTTATAGAAAAGGGAACTGAAAACAAACAACATTCACGTTATT